GCTTAACATTTCTATATGTAATTTTTAAAAGTTAGGTTATACCTGAAACTACAGGGCTTTGAAATACATTTGCTTTATTAATGTTAGTACACTCCACATAGATTTATCCTTATTTAACAGTTGGGAAACAATTTTAGACACATATGTGCTTTGCCAAAAACCACAAAAAGTTGTGATATTTGCCTTATAATCTATGTCTGTCTGTTTTAAGCATGCAAGTTCTTAATCACTTCTGTGTAATTTTGTCAACTCTTTAGTTTTTACTTTTCTCATCTTTAAAATGAACAGATTAAATTTAATCTAATGTAATGTCTCATTCTAAGAGACTAGATATAATATAAAGTAGCATATTTGAAGAATGAGATAGTCCACTTAATGGAATATGCTGATTGAAAGAGGACTTCAGTGCTCTATGGTGACAAGATTATCAGGTTTCAAGAAATGAGTACAATTCAGTGTACTTCACTCGAGGGATTTAATTTTTCAGTGGATATTCAGAAGGCATTAAGGAACATAAAATGCTCAAAAACAAAACAGAATATTTTTCAGTGGATATTCAGAAGGCATTAAGGAACATAAAATGCTCAAAAACAAAACAACAAATTTGAGCACAAATGGGGCTGCATGATTTTTCTAGTACTTTAAACTTTAGTTTAACTTGGATTCTGGAAAAATGGAAGTTTTATATATCATTCATACATCTAATTAATGAAATCCCCATACTTATATTTTGCTTCCTTTTGCCTCCATTAAAGTCAACTTTAGCTCTTAATTACCTATGTCTATCAGGATAAGCCAGTTTGAGATCTGATATGTGCCACAAGGGGGGGAAATCCTCATATGGGTAACAGAGATGAAGAAACAGACTGTTTATTAAGTAATTTACTTTAAGACACATGGATGAAGAAATAGCAGCAAACTAATCCCTAGTTTAGTTTTTCTAATTCCTCCTCTTGTCTTCAGATTTTAAAGGATAAATATAAGATGGAGATAATATTGTTTTAGGTACAACTGAAGGATGAAGCAAACAAAATGCTGAAAATAACTGCAAGTCAAATTTAGCTAGAATAGAAAGGAATCACCTGAAAATTAGAAATATGTTTATAGTG